TTTGAGAACAAATTGTACATTCATGTCGCATTATAAATCTGTACATCGTGCTTCTTTAGATGCTGGATATTGGCCTACAGCTGGGTTTCCAATAAGATCATAGTACTCTTGAAATAGTAACACTGAATATGTTTTACCTTTTAAACACATATGCGCGCACACACACCCACCATTGAAAGTTATGAAGAACAGTTGAAACCGCCAAATGTGCTATATTTTATTAGAGATGAATTGTAGCTATTTTATTCTAGGGGCTAATTCACAGACCTTTAATGTTATGTCATTGTGAGGAAGCCAGATATATTATTTCAGTTCTGAATACCTCGGTAACCTTTTTGTCTTCCTTTGTGTGAAAAAAGGGAACCGTGTCCATTGCAGAAGAAAATGCTGTATCTCAGGACCAGGAATGTAGAAGTAGAGACAGGATTACAAAGGGCTTTGGCAGATGCTAGGTTATGTTCTGGATCATTCCTTGTATGGCAGGAGGGAACATCTTCCTCTGCCCTTCCCAAAGAGTCCCCTGATGCTTCTGCTTCATTGCTGCTTTCAGTTCTGGGCTCAGTTTTTAAAAATCAAAAGCATCTTCCATGAGTTCCATAGGAATCTGAATCCACTTCATGCTGAAGAGACCCCAGAGGCAGGTAGACACCTCAGGCAGGTAGAGAGGCCACTGGACATCCTGCCTGAGCACATGCCTGCTCTACAGAGTCCCTGCATCTGAGTGCCCTCCTGCCTGGAACACAGGCCTCGGCTCTGCAGAAGTCACAGGCCCCTCAGGGCACTAGAGACAAAAAAGGAAGACGCATAGTACCCTGGGGGTGGGGGCGGGGGGAGCAGGAGCCCAAACCCCCAAATATTAAGGTTGTGTCTAAATGCGGATATTTCTATCCCAAAAGATGCTGAAAAGAAATATGCCGTTCAGCCAACAGCCTTTCTTGTCTTTCGATTCTCAGATGAAAGGTTTCCTAAGCTTCTCTGCAGCTCTTTCTTCTGGTTGTCCCTCCTCTGATTTAGATGCATCTCCAAGGAAATACTACACAGGTTCATTTTTGAGGAAATTTCTGAGTTTGCCCTGTCAGCCAAGCATCACTGTGTGCATGTGCCGGCCAGCATTCATTTCTGGTCTGCCTGTGGGAACACCAAGGGTTCGTGAAGATCATTTTCTTGTACTGTGCACAGCAGACTCCAGAAGGATCTGTGCCATCAGAACATTTGGTTTCTAGGCTCCCAAGTCCTCTTTGTTTTTGATCGTGACATTTCTTCATGCTCAGATGCATACGTGATGTAACATTCTTTGTTGATGTTCTGCAACTGTGTTTTAGAGCTATTTTGGCTTAGCACTAATTAAGAATGGGGGACTAAACTTTTCTGGTTAAAATGTTACTCTCCCCCCACCCTCCCTTCTGACTCCCTTGCCTTTCTGTACCAGGCCGTATCTGTAGGGCTTTAAACCCAAGACTGGTATTTAATAGACCCTAGATTGTTTTGTTGAAAACAGGGCAAATGAGAATTCTCTCTATGGGGTTTGTGGGTCTTTGTTGTGATGGGGAAGAGTGCCCTAAAGGGGAGTTCCTAGCAGCCTAATTGTTGAGAAATGATGGAAGTTCAACAGCATGGAAATTCTACTTCTCGCTTCAGCTGAAAAGGTGCTTATAAAGGTAGCTGGGCTATTTTACCAATTTGCCTTATTTTGAAAATCCAATTTGAAAGCTTCATTAAAGGCCACTAATTTGGTGTCTTAAGGGAATACGTGTAAAGGAGCTTGTCGACAGTCTAAGATGTTTGCCAGTGTGTAGGTGAACTCAACCCTCCAAGCTGGGATTACTTGGTCACCTGTATGTTCTTTCATTTCAAATGTGATATGAAATGCAAAAGCATCCAGACTGAGAGAGTAACAGCACAGTTTCTGCAAACACCTTCTGCTTGCTGCATAACAGAGTCAGTAAATCAAGAGATGAATTGTTGGGACAAGGAATAGAGACTTTATTCAGAAAGCCAAAAGACAGAAAAGATGGCGGACTAATGTCCTAGAGAACCATCTTATCCCGGTAAGAAAACAGACATTTTTTTATACTAAACAGGGGAGGGATATGGTTGGTTGTTGTTGCAAATTTCTTGGTGCAGGAATCCTTTGTTCTTGCAACTGTCCTGGTAGGTCAGGTCATGATGTTCCTGTAAACCTCCAACATGACAAATGTTATTTTCTGTTCTGCAACCTTGTATCTCTATATGAATGGGAAAGTGTTATACTCTTAAAGGTCAGAGCCTTGAGAATGGGCTATCCTGTATATTTCAAGCTGTAGGCAACATTCTTAACTCAAAGCAAAAGCAACAGAATACAAATCTTAAAGTAAAAGAAACAGACCTAATATGGAGTCAGACTTGTTCTTCCCTATGACACTTCCTTGTTCCCCCATTTCCACCACTTCTCACCCCTAAAGGTAGGATGCTTTCAGTGCAGAAATACCTCTGCTTGGACATCAGCACCATAGACATCATCCAGAAATCCAATAAGGAAGACAACAGTTTTACTGAGTTTAGTGGTAGTTAATACAGGACAGACCAAGGGCCATAAGGTATGGTAACTGTTTCAAATTAAGGAAATGCAAATACTTTCTGAATGCCTGGAAGAGTCCCTCACTGCTCACTGCCTGCCTAATATTCCCAGAAGTATGTTTCAGTCCCACTTTGGGATGCAACAGTTAAAATAGGATAGCTGGATGTTAATTACCTAGGTGGCCTCAAATAAACTTGAACCTTCTCTAGTTCCTCCTTTGTTGACTACATATTATGAGAAAAGTTAGAAAAAGTTAGCCGAATTAAATGAATGTTATTTTTCTTTGAGAGGGTTTCCTTTTTAAGTAAAGGTTAAACTCTGTGAGAAATTGCATTGTTTCATCAAGCTTGTCTTTACACTGATAAGATACTGAAACACTGTGTCTTGTTCTTTTACATAATCACTGTTTATAGTAAGAATGCTGATTGAATTCCCTTTCCCCCTGTTCAGTAGTTATAATTTCTAATCCAGTTTATGGAAAGGAGTTTGTGTGTGTGTGTGTGTGTGTGTGTGTGTGTGTGTGTGTGTGTAACTTACAGCATGAAGTCAGATCTAGAAGACTGTGTTAAGAACAAGCTCTTAAAGTTTTCCTCTTAGTAGATTACTCATCCACCCATTCAGAGAGTGCTTAGGTGTCACTCTGTCCAAAAGGAAAGTCAAGTAGAATGACTTTCCCTGCAGTCCCAACTGTGTGAATTTAATACATAGCAAATTGTCACAACAATTTCCCCCAAGGAAAGGAGATTTTTTTTCGAACATGACTTGAGATGAAGGGAGGAGAATTAGAAATACTTTCTTGTGTGTGAATTTTCCCTTGAATTCCATATGGCTGGAAGGAGGAGAGAAATGCCTGTCAAAATGCTTTTGGAGAGGAACATTTGAGTTGAAATGCTCAAAAAATAGATCAACATAAGGGTCTTAAATTCTTTAGGCTTTATTTGCTGAAACCTCATACAGCAGATTTATTCTTATTCCAAAACTAGCCAATTTCCAAGGGAAACAATTTCCAATATTTGGGAAATAATTATCTATTCACCAAAGACCAGTACAACTTCATCCTAATTTTTTCCATAGCATTTACTAGCAGTGCACATAACATGTTTGGTATCTTAATCAATATCTTAGCATATATAAACATGGCTACTGCTGTTGAAGTTCCTTTTCTATAAAAACTGGAAGACACATCCCTTAATAAATATGTCATCAGGAATGGTGTCAATAAATGGAACTAAAAGGATGTGGACATTTTCATGACACGGTTTATACTAGTTATTTATTTGTTGTCTCTTCATTGGGGTTACTAATTGCAGCTGGTAAAAGTTGATTTTCTCTTCTCCAATTTATTGTGGGATGGGGCATTCATTGCACCAGATCCATAGTTATTCAGCGTCTGCATTTCAGAAGCTGAATTGCTGGATACTGTCAGAATAAGCTTTGGTAATTCCATGCAGGCGTGTACAACTATAATTTTGCTTCCCATTAATAACAGCCTAGCAAGGAAGCCCAGAATCAAATGCCTTGCTCTCAGCTGGGGGCAGAACGCCAGAGTGATCTATCTTGGCTGGTGACCTGTGATGTTGGAAAAGTAGGCTCCACATTCAGTCAGGAGGGGTGGGCGGTGTTCCGGAAATGTATTCCCATTCCTCCACTATTCCTTTTTTTTTTTTCCTTTTGGTAGTGTGTACCTTGAAACAATGGGGGTGAAATGAATTACAGATAATAAAAATAGCACATCTATAAACAAACAGGAAATGCAGCCCTTTTATTTCTTGGGGTGTCAACTCTGCGCCCTGCCCCACGCCCTAGCCTGCAGGGGTTTCTGGGGCACCTCTGATTCTCATCAGCGCCCGGGTGGGCAGCGGGCTGGGCGGGTGCCCACGGGGAGTCCACCGGGCGCCGCACAAGAGGACTAGGGGTCCTGCTCAAAGCCGCGAATGTCTGAGAGCGCTGAGGCTTCGGCTGGATTTGGGTGGAGTGAGGTGTTATTGTTGTGGGATATTCTCTGCAGAGTTGGCCTGGAGAGTGAGCCCCGGAGGAAGGGAGTGAGCACAGCTTGGCCAGGTGTCCGCCGCCAGAGTCGGGAGGCGCCCAAGAGAGGTACTTGGGGCTTTGGCCCGGGGCGGGGAGGGATGCGCGCTGGCCGAGAGCGGGGATGCATGGTGGAGGGGCAGGGGGCAAGGAGCCAGTTTTCTCTCTGATGAATGATGTACACGTTCGTGGCTCCGGCGCTTTGTCTCTAGCCCGGGGGCCGGTGGAGTAGACCAGCCCGGGGACGAATGGCACCGCCACGCGCTCCGGGCACCCCGGGCAGGTGCCCGCGCGCCGGCTCGGCCAACTCCGGCTGCGCCTGGTGGCCAAGGCCCGGCCCCCGCAGGCGCCCGAGCGCGGCCATCTCCCGGGTGTGGCGGGTCAGAGGCTGGAGTCTGCCGGCTGAGCAGCTGCCATGCCACATGCCACCCGCACGCTGCCGCCAGCCCGGGCGGGGACCGGACGCGGCCGGGGCTACGGGGAGGAGCCGGGCGCGTGGGAGGGCAGGGGCGCGCGGAGGCGGGGAGCTGGGCGCGCGGGACCCAGGGACGCCGAGGCTGGCTGGCTCAGGGAGGGACTGGGAGTGACAGAGCGACGGACAGGTGGGAGCAGTCAGACAACTGGAGACGCGGAGACCGGCAGGCAGAGAGAGGGAGGGAGAGGCAGAGGAAGCAGACGGAGGAGGGAGAGAGTAGCAGCCGCGCGCGCCCTCCCTGCAGACACCCTCCTCTGTCCGAGGGAAGCAGCCGGGGGCACGGAGTGGCAGAACGAGAGAGATGCGGGTGCAGAAGACCAGCGGAGGGTCCCTGCCTCACTAGTGGGACCAAGAGTCGCGGAGGGACCGCCGCGAGGGGCAGCTCGGAGAGCGGATCGCGAGACGGCAGGAAGCCCGTGGCGGCTGCCGGACCGAGGGACAGACGGCCAGACAGACAGACGTGCCCGGGGACGGACTGGCAGCCAGGAGGCGGGAGCTCGCTCCCTCTCCGCAGCCAGGGGCCGAGAAGGCGGCGGCAGCGCCCCCCGAGCGCATCTGAGCAGCGGGGAGCCGCAGGGACCTCGGGGTCACCGGCCGAAGCCGCTGCTGTGGCCGCAGCCCTGGGTGCCACAGCCCTGCCAGGAGCCCCGCCGACGCCGCAGAAGGCTCCTTTTATTAGCAGTTAAATAAATCGACCCAAAATAATAACAAAAATAAGCCAAAGCAAACAAATACAGCCAAGCCATCCGTGAGAAACAATAATACTAATAAAAGCCAAAAACCAAAATCAATCAAGGAACAGAGGCGCTGGGGGGACGTCCACTTTTCGGTCAAGGTAAAATAATTTTAAGGTCTTCCGACGTGAACATTGCACGCCTTTTGTCATTTCTTTCTTTTTTTTTCTCTTCCTTCCTGCCTTGCATCTGTGCTTTTCTTTTGAGTTGTCTTTAAGTCTAGGTCTCGCTTTCCTGTTTGTAGAAAGCTGCTGTTATGTATGTATTGTATTTTCATGCTTTGTCGGAGGAGGGGCAGACTCCCCACTCCCCAGAATGAGGCAAAAATGAAAAGCAGGAAGAGAATGGAAAAGAGCAGGTCTCTTCATCAGAGAAGTATACAGTTGATCTTTAAAGGCTTCTCTGTAGAAAGTTGGGAATGTGCATATTTCTTTTGGAAGAGAGCTATGCAAGGGGCAGAAAGTTGTCATCTGTTAGTTGTCCTCAGAGGACTTGAGATCCCGGCTCCCCCAGGGTATAGAGGAAAGATGTTCAGTTTCATTTTTATGTGTCTGAATTCTGTATCATTGCAAACTCCAAATTTAACATCTTCTGCCTCAGGGGTGTAGATGTGGTAGAAGGGAGTTGAATGATACAGGTGTATAGAAAGTTTCCTAAGAAGAGAAATGGATTCTCTGGGTGTTTATGCATGGAAATGGAGCTGGAGTGGATGTGGTTGCTGTCAGTTCAGTGTCCTGAAGATACAGGCAAGCACAGAATCTGAGCTGGAAAGACAAAGAAAGGATTGAAAGTTAGAGGGATGGAAGGCTGGTAAAAATCACTTTCACGAGATGGTGTTTGGAGTGCAGATACCCATTTTAATTTCTGACTTTTTTCAAGTCTGTTGGTTTGACACTTCAGCCTCCCCAAACAAAGATGACGATCTCCAAAGTTTAGGCTGAATGTGGACAAGATTTCACTCAAATACTGAAGAAATCTGAATTATCCCCACCTCTTCTTCATCCACTTTGGTGATCAAAATGGCTGTGATTGTTTTGGGCAAACGGAGAAATGGGGCTGACAGGAAATCACTTTTCATTTGGTAAAAGTTAGCAAATCTTTGACACTTGAAAATAAATGCACCTACTGCTCGGGTTTTGTCTCCACAGGGTTTACATGTCTTTGTAAGGTTTTAGGTAATGTCATTTTCACAGAGGGCAGTCATTTGGAAGCCTAGAGCTCTAGCTATGTAGCCGAGTAGTCTGGTTATCTTGGCAGTGATTGCTTCTGCTTTTTCCCAATGAGGATCGCATGGGAGATAATAACATATGCCCTCATCTCAGGTTGATACGGATTTCTAAGGTATGTATATGTGTTTGATCCTGAATTTCCTTTCTAATAACATTCTTATACTTCTTTTCATCACTTGAGCAGAATGTTTTTCAAGGCTTCAGAGAGGGAGTTTAGAATATTCTTTAAGGAATACAGTTCCTCCTTACAAAAGGCTAGTCTATTACTACCCTTGATTATTAGTACTATCACTTGGTCTCAAGTAATCTGGTTTAAATACAGTTTTAAGACATTCAGACTGCTCTACAGAGATGTCTTAACTTATCCTCACTGCTTGTGATTAATATTGTCCAATAAATCTTGAAATAAGTTGCTTTGGATGAATGTCTATTCAGCAGAGTACTTTTTCAGTGAGGTGTATTTAAAGAAACTTCACACTCCAGAAATGCACCTTGAGCTTCTCTGTGACTTCATTTCACTACATACTGACTTCTCTTTTACAGTATTCAGCTCAGATTGAGATAGGTTTGGGTGCACTGCACTATTAAATTTGTAAATTGCTGGTCTCCCAGTGACTTTCCTTCTTGGATACCAACTGAGTGTGGTTACCTTGAGAACTGTGGCACTAGCCCCATTAGAGCATGCTCCACTGGGGAGTTCTGTGCGGTCTATTTTTAATGCTATTTAATGAAGGAGTGAGTGCCTCACTCAGCACTGCAAGGAGCAGGATGGAAGGCAGAGCTGGGCATGGTGATGGATCCTGGAGAAGGATGTCTGGAAAGGTACAGACTGGCTGCTGGAGATGGTAATTTTCATTAGTCCTAATGAATCGCACTAACAGAGGCCAATTGATTTTAGTGGGAGAATTACCTGTGAATAGTTTGATATGTGTTTTCATCAACCTCTCCAGTAATTCTTAGAAAGAAGATTCAATAATCTGAGTGCCTTAAAACTTCAGGGAAATAGTAACCAGGGAGTTGCTGTGTATATACTATTTTTAATCCAGACTGTCAGGTGCTTGAGTGGTAAGAAGTGCAGAAATAATGTCAGCTTCCTAAAATATTATACTGGGGAAGGGTTTGGAGCTTGTAAAATGTTCCGGGCATAAAATAACTAAATCCTTCTAAGATAGGCTGATGACTTGAAGCTCTGCCTTGTGAATTTGTTTTTCATTTTCTTTTATAAACTTGGAGTCTAGATCAAGGATTGTGACAATGAAGTGAAGTAGGAAGTTTTGGCTGAACTTGATAGATAATTTAAGCTGTTTTTCCCTCCTTACTTTGAGATAAGCACAATAGATAATGTTACCAAAGGTTAACTATTTCTTAAATGTAGATGTCAGAGGCAGCGCTGATAATTTTCAGGATTTTATAATGAGGGGGGACATGTCTTAATGTTATACTGCGTAAGATATACAAAGCCATCTGTCTGCAGTATTTGCATATATGCAGAACGCCTGTCTTGAGGTAGGAAGTGAGAATGTTCAATCAGAAAGGTCCCTGTCGTTCACTTTCACATTAACAACGTACTGCAGTTGGGTTATTTCTTTGTGCAGAGTGAAGCTAATTAGAAAAATGCCTAGGTTGTTTCAAAAGTAATGAAAGAGAAAGTGAGAAGTTTGTATTAAGTGGAGAAATTAGTCATAATTATTGTTAAATGAAGCTATTAGAACAATGTCCAAAGTTGTCCTGAATCTTGTCAATTTTTATAAGAAGTAACCCCCCCCCAAAAAAAACACAAGAAAAATACATTGCAGAGAGTTAGTATAATTTGCTGCAGTTGCTTGTGTTTCTCACCTTCTACTTTGAGAGGGAGAAAGTAATCTACATTGACCATAGTGTTTCTCTTACTGGAGAAATATTATTTGAACCACAGTGCTGCTACTTTTCTCCAGATTCTCTAGGCAATGGGCATTCTCATCTGAATTCAATGTGGATTTTGTCTGTGGACAAGATAATGATAAACTGCATGAGTAGAATGTGGAGTGAGTCAGCCGGTAAAGGCACAATATACCATATAGCCAGAAGTGGATAGGACTGAAAATCCTCATTAGTATGGGGAGACAGTTTGAAGTCTGTAAGGTTGAAAATCGCAAATGAACCCTTTGTATATACGTTAGTTTAATTCAGATCTGCTTCATGACAAGGTTAGGAAAGACTCTGGGGCTTAAAGGTGATGAGGACACTGAAAACCATCTCTTCAAATGGTAAGTACTGGCATGGTCCTGACTGGTACACACAGTGGTGCATGCTGAGACATCTGTGACTCTCTAATCAGGGAAAAAGCTGGCTTCTTCAAAAATGCCTTATGTCACCAGCCAAGTTCTGAACATATTTTAAGTCCGTGATGATGAACTTATCAAATCCATACTTCCTGTCTTTAGACAAACGACCTTCATTTTTTTTTTAATTGCTGCTTCCATAGTCTTTACATTTCTGACTTTGCTTTCTTTCATTTTTCATTCTAACATTGAAAGTTAAATATGCTTAATGATTTCAAACAGTCATAGAAGCCACTGCGGAAGGACTGTTGAAGGTAGAAAAAGAATATTAGCAAGACTTATCTGTGACTGGATTTGCTTTTCTCAGGCTATCTTTGCTTCTGAGGTTGGTTTCCTTTAATGTATATTTATGCCAAGTGCTGATAAATTGATTTTTTTCAGTGGATCAGAGTCTTATAATCTAAATTAATTTTGCTCATCTTTGATTAAACTTGGCTCTGGATGTTCAGAGTTATGTATTATTTGTATTTACATCACAACCTTTCATTTCTATGAAGATGAGATGGGAGCTAAGATACACAGTATTTAAACTGCATACATTAGTATCATCTGTTTGATTAAAATTAAGTACTTGAGACAGAGTTTCAAGTTTACTTTGCAGTGCAGTTTTTAATGTTTGGCAGCAGTGTTAGCTTGTGGTTTCAAAATCCTCTGTAATCTGGTGATATTGTGTTTTTGTAAGTCATGAAATGCCCATCTAGCGTTTTGAAGGTACCTTTCTCTAAAATTACTGGGAGGTACCTGTGCCCTGGGAAATAGCTACAGAGGTAAAACAAAGCATGAATTGAAAGAATTCCATTGGGACAATTGAGGGGATATTGAGAAAACAAAAGGAACTGACTTATAAAACACCAAACTGACTCTACCTTCAAACTGAGTCCTTAGCATTGTGATATGTTCTTCTTTTGCTGCCAGTAGCGATCTTCATTATCGGCAGGTGGAAGGACTGTTAACCATGGTCGGCAGCCACAGTAGATCAATATTTTAAATTCCTCTACATACTTTTCTTGAGAAGATTTCTCCTGGCAGTTTTTTATAACCCCTACCTAATATACAATGTCCATGCCAAAGGTTATATGAGATTTTTTAAAGTTCTGTAACCAAGTGATATCTATTAGGATAAAATTGCATCTGTGACTTATTTAAAGGCCAAGAATTCACCCAGAATTATCTCACTCAAGGTACAAGGTCATAATTATCCCTCAGTCATAAATTTATACAACATTTTAAAACTATTAATATGTTGCAGTTCTTTTATCTAGCAGCAGAAAATATTTCATTTTCTGCAGTCAGAGGGAAGAGGGTTCCAATAGTGATTAGCCCTTTAAGAAACAGGCCTTTTATCAATCTATTACATTTCACACCATTTTAAAATGGTGCACTTCTTACATTAAAAATGTGTTGTG